CATCAAAATTACAACAGTCGACTAATTATCTTAAAAAAATGCTTTTGAATTTCACCAAAAATATCTTGGGTTTTTTTTCATGTTCTTACTGATATCAGTTGATTATCTCGCAAAAAGCTCGCGCAACATGCCGTTATTTATTTTTCAACTACATGACTAAAATTTTCGATGAATTTTCCAACTAAATCATCAAATTATACGATCTCAAAAATCCCAGATAAGACCTTAATGTGAGTGATTTTCAGACCATCAATACCTTCATGTACTTGAGGAAAGGAGGCATCATCACTGATTTTTCCTTGGTGGCTCCGGTTCCGATGATGCCTATAAAATATTCCTTCTTGTGCAGATCTGACTCATAGGAACAAAGTTGTTTGATCCAACTCTTCGGCATCGTGAATGGAACCCTCAAAAGGGCAACACCATCTTCGTCTTCGCTGAAAATCAAAGTTAATTTAAGAAGGTTTTAAACAACCTCCTCCTCTCCTAGTGTCGTATAGTACCAAATTTGACCGCCAATGAAAGAATAATCTAATAGTATTGCAATTAAATTGCACTTAGCGCCGAACATCTGCCATTTGTGAGTGTGTGTGTGTGTGTGTGTGTGTGTGTGAGAGAGAGAGAGAGAAAAAGAAAGAAAGAGTGAGAATTGGAGGGGAGGGGGGGGGGGGGGTGGTGTTTGAGATTTAAGAAAATCTAAAACACCAGACTGGAAACAATTACAAAATTAATTACGATACAGTTTTGCAATTAATTTCATGGGATGAATGAAGTACCTATTGGAGAAATAAATGTCTTCGCCCCCAATGATTGTCTCGAACTTTTCCCTTCGCAGTTTGCTCCTCATTGCCCCAAATGTGAAGTTACCCAGAAGCAGGTGGACATGATTGGCATCTTCCACACACCAAGCATGGGTCAAAACCCAACTATGGCCCACGACAACTCCCCCACAATACTCATTTAACTCGTCTTCTTCCCCTGTTGTCTTGACTACTTTCACGTAGTAGTTTCCAGCATAAGTAGGAATCTTCGCCTTTACTCCACCAATTATTCGCTTTTCAACATCTATTTCAACGGTACTCGCTAATGTTTTAAATACTATTACAAAATAAATAACAACCCCAAGTAGGCTCACCATAGATAGAAAAAAAATCAAATATTTCTCAGCCTAAAGGTGATTTTTAACAAGAAAAGATTAAATAATGAACTGGAGCACAGAAAACATTGCATTATCTAAATTCATTTCGAAGCACGTTGGCTCATCTATAAATAAAAGCATCAAAACTAGCTCTTCCCGCAGTTTTCACGATGAGACGAAAACAACGAAAAATTCACAGCGTGTCATCAAAATAAACTAAAGAAATGGTTTTGAAGTTCTCTGGCCTGTTTGACAATTGCCATCAAAAAGTTGATGCAGGGGCAGATGAAGAATTAAATAGGAGGAGGGGGTTCTAGGATTTTTCAAGAATGCTTCTTCGTGGACCATGATTTTCAACAAGCTAAGAAGGCCGATAAAATTGACTTTCTTAGCTCTCTCACAACACTAAAAATCCATTTTGAAGCAAAAATTTTTGCGCTTCCGGTAGTTAAAACGTATAGGTCAAAATGGGCTGTTTTCGCAGAAATTTAGAGGTTTGCAGAAATTTAGAGAGCAGAATTTTAGGGTTTGTAGACCAAAAATGGATTCCCTAAAATAGTACTTAAAGTGATTATTGTAAACGTTCCACAGAGTTCAACAAATTCAAGTTTGCTTATTCGTGTTCAGGTGCCTATCGTACGAGCCCGTTAAACTGACTTTGTACAATCAATACAAGTAACCTTGATACAGACTGAACGACTGATTCATTGGCATCCATGCATTTTTTAATTCGACAAACTGGAACCTGATCTAAACTACATTTTATGATTGGATAAATTAGATATTTTACCAATGTAAAGTATTTAATATTAACCAATCATGATCCATCTAACTAACAACCCACTTATTTGTAAGTGCTGAAGTTACTTGTAATTTCAGCACCAGAGAGATTTGAATTTAACTTAGAAAATAGTTGGACTCTCCCGAGCACTTCAGCAGCCGCAATAAACCAGTATACCCTAGATCTATTGAGCCTAGCAGAGACTAGTTAAACAACCTGAGACTAGATAGTATAAGAGTAAGATTAGGATCGGTATTAGACTAAGAAGTTGCACGAATCTATCCGGCCGAAAATAAGATAGCGTGACGAGCAGACGGTGTACCCTATCCGAAATTACTCTATGAGTTATACACTCCAGTCATAACTCATCTGGTGCGACCATAAGTCTCGAACAAGACCTTAATAGCTTAGAATTAACCAAAATAGATTAGAAATTAGACAAAAACATTTACAAAATGTTATACGACAATAATTTAATCGAAATGTCTCTACGACTCAATAGATCAGAGCCAATATTCCGAACCATAACAGAACTACCCGGAATTGGAAGAAGACCTCGAACCAGAGACGACATACGACAAAGTAGAAACTTGCCATATAGCTATATGATAGTTAGGCAAAAACCAGAACAAACTTTTATATTTAGAATACTACTGGCAATGAATTTAGATTTTCATTTGCAAACATAAAACCTTGAAGTTAATCTTCAAAATCATTTCAGGCGCTAAACAAAATTATTAATATACAATAACGATTGATAAAAAGATCTAAGATCGTTTTCCTAAAACTCTGCAGTAATATACAAAACATGTTTGAAAAATATTTATTGAAAAATAAAAAATAAAAATTAGTAGCATGACAATAAATGGTTAGTAATCATAAATCATCCTGTTGTTCCAGCTCCATCACCTAAAACATAACAGCAATCATAAACCCACTAATATCATCAAAACACTAAATCTTTCCTTTACACACATTTAAAATTTTATTAAAACTTAAATTCACTTAATTTTAAAACCAGATCATCAAGGCTTATCCTTGGATCTTAAATCATTTTCTACTTAATTAAATTTCAAATTTGATCATCAAGGCTTATCCTTGGATCAAACAGAACAACTTTGTTCTCCCCCACCCACTTAATTAGTGTCTAACGACCTCAAACGTCGATTCACTACCCAACCCTTTCTAAAGACCTAAGACTAATAGAAATTTTTAAACAAAACTAATCATTCAAATTAGGATAAACAGTGAAGAACTTCGGTTATTCATCCTTCACTTGACCCCCCCTTTTACCAGACCCAGGATAAATCTTAGACTTAGTAAATTTAAAATAGTATCTAACGAACTACTCGCGTTCTAATTATACCTGAACCCTGTGGATCGATTTACTATTCTCCAACCCTTGAACACAATCACTACCCCTAAGTAAGGTTAAGTAAGTTAACACCTTAACTTATACTAGCCACGAGAAAGTAAAAAATCATTCTTCGGAATCGATATACTTTTCTCTCCAACCCTGAACAAATAGACCCAGGTTAAGCTAACCAAAAAATCGTAAGAACTAACAGTTTAGGAAAATAGAAACCATTTAACAACCTTTTGCATCCGTCATCCTAAACCTTATGTCATTTAAAAACCTAGGAAATAAACAAACAATCGTTTTACACAATTGTGAAATAGATAAAAAAAATACGACCTTGTAATCACACCTCATACACAAACAGTTGGATACATTCGAACAAAACGACAAACACTAAAAAGAAAAATAATAACGAAACAAAGACAAATAACACGAAAAAGATTTTCAAAAAATCGAAACGCATTTTCAGAATCAGAAACCAACAGTTTAGAAGTTTAGACGAACTTTACAAACTAAAAGAATCAATAGATAAAAATTGCCCACTTCACGATCAATTATATTTTTCTGACTCAGAAACAACTTCAAATTCATCAAAAAGAGGAAAAAGAAGAATAAAAAAGCAGTATAAACACAAACCAGTACATTTATACAATTGGAATCAACCAATTCGACACATTAATAATTACATATTAACAGTCATCGAACGAAAAAATGAGCTCAACGCACACCCCAGGTGACGAAACCCCAGATGATGATGAAATCTTTCCTTTTATAGTAGATGCAACCACTGATAGAGGACAGCATATATTTTGCAAAAATTTACTATTAAATTTATTTGAACCCGGAATCAGTCCATGTAAAACAGAGTTCCCAGATGTAAAAATCAAAAGACAAATCATAGACCACTACTTAAAAGATATATGCAACATAACACAACAGTATGGAATCTACTCCATAGAATTCACCTCACCAAACCATAATCATAGAAAATATACAATCCAAACAGACAATCTTGATTTAGAATTTTCAAAAGTTTTTTCAGAATATATAAAAAGCATCCAATATCATAACTCACAAAGAGCAAACTCCATATTCACCAATGAAGTTTTCGCAATAATATATAGTTATATTTCGATATTAGAAAATGAAATCCCAATAACAAATGTCTCACCGACAGAAACATCTAAACATTTAAGAGTACGACATGAAATCACACTACTCTCTAGTTATTTAAACATCATTAAAGAAAATTTCACGAAAGACGACGTTTCACAACATACAAAACACGATCTACAAAAAATTTTGGCATGGTTCATAATAGATTATTTCACACACAATATTGATTTAATTGCACAAGCAAGAAAAAATTTTAGACCCCAAAACTCGAACGATGATACCGCTATCACAGAACAATCAGATTATGTTTGGGACCCCGAATGGTCTCATCCCGCATTTATAAGCTTCCCACAATCAATCTCAAGTCAAGCAATAAGTACGATATCTTACATAAGAGATTATGTAAGAGTAATACCATTCACCATTGATGCAACACCATTAAACTATAATACATTTTTGCCCGATACACAAAATAATAGTTTAAACTCTACAGTCATACACAATGAAAACCTCAATGGAACTAGGAATCTTACTCAACAAGATATCCAGACACCATCACACTTCATAAATGAAGAAATTGTACACACAACAACTACACAACAAAGTATTTCACCAATACGCCCAAATTTAACAACACCAAGAAATACAAATCCTTCACAAACACAGGTAACCTTACAATCAACCGTTAAACCTTCGGTTGCCCCTAAATATTCACATATAGATTACCAAACATACAGACCCATGACAATACCATCAAAAACACGCAAAACATTCACTAGAAACAACTTTACAGACCATAATTATAATTATACACATCCATCAAAAACATATAATCAACCACAAAGAAATTTTAACCAATATACAAGATCTCGAAATTGGGATAACCCAATGACCCAACCTAATTCAATAAATTTCCAAACAAATCCTCCACAGGATCACAGTGAAAATTACCCATTTTTTCAACAAAATAAAAATAAAAAACAGACATCTTATCAAATGGATTATTTATCCTCAGATGATGATTTCTTACAACCAGATATATTTGCACCAAATACTCAAGAATATCGTAGACAAGGAATACAGAAAACACGTACAAATCATAGAAATTTTTCTCCACAATCAATAGATGCACAACATCAACAACCAATTCAACAACAAAATCTAATTAATACACAATCTTTTCAACCAATTCAACAACAAAATCCAATGACTGCACACTCGTATCAACCATCACAAATGCAAAATGAAATACCACTCCCATATTATCTCCAACAACATGAAATAACAAGAAACCAACTTTCAAATTTTTCTCAAATGCCAAATGCAGCAGAATCATTACAAATGACAATGAATCCATACCTTATGGGTGGATCATCAATAACATCAAACAAACCTTTAATGGTTTTCACAGGAACAGACCCTGAATACTCTGTAGAAGATTATTTAAATGCAGTAACAGCAAACCTGATTTTAAATATTGGACCTGAACCAATTAATACGCCACTACATCAAAACTGGATACATCGACGCACAGCGTTAATACAAACAACCTTAGATGGCGCAGCCCAAAAATGGTTTTCAGTACTACCTCTAGAAATAAAATCAAACTGGAAAAGGTTTACACAGGAATTTTCAAAAATGTTTGACTCCGAAAGAAACAAACAACAACA